ACATACATGTGGCTTTTCCCCTGTGTGCACTATGGAGTGTGTCTTGAGATTGCTGAGTTGTGTGAAGCCCTTTCCACATTCTGAACATACATGGGGTTTAATGCCTGTGTGCACCAACATGTGCTGCTTGAGATTGCTTCGCAGCAGAAAGTCCTTTCCACACACATCACACACATGTGGCCTGTTGCTGGGTTGGCTGTCCACAGTTGACATCTTGGGATTTTGTAGTGAAAGTGAAGTACCAGGGTTCTCACCTGACTGCTTTACTACATATTCACAAAAGCTGTAATAAAAAACTGCAGTCACTAGAACTGCCACCATGTCGTTTAACATGTGCATGAGCAGACACTAAACTGCAAGAATAAAAGAAGTACTTACTTTCAACATTCATCATATACTACACCATTAATCAACAAAAGAACATCCAATCCTCACGCAGTTCATATATTGAGTGATAAATTATAAAAGATGAAAATACACAATACTGCTACTACATTAAAATGCAAAGAACTGAATCAAGTTTTTTTAATTAACCTCAATTTGTTTCCAAAATGTGATGCACAGCTGACATCACCTGCTGAAAGCTTATCTGAAGAATCCATCTTGATCAACGTATATTTGTAATTCTGAATGGTACTAAAATTTGAAGAGCTTGAACAATGATCCACTTCTTCCTGAAGTAGAGAGGAAAAACTGTTACAATATGACCGACTTTCTTGTTTGCTACATGACACACTGAAATTCTGATAATAGTACGCAATATTCAGATGTATGACTGAAACCAGAGATCCATTATAACTGATCTTGCATATTTTTATGCTTGCTGCTTTGCTTTCAAAACTAAAGTGTGATATATTTCTGGGGGTTCAAGGTGATTCAACCAGTCTCATGCCAATGGCTGAAGAGCTGCAATGTGAGGCAAAGACCCACCTATAATGACATGAAATATTTAAAGAATAGTAAATGTCAAACAAGTATCTATAAACAATTTAAATGTCCCTTAGAATTATTTATTAGGATACATGAAGAAATGTTAGAGGGGAAGGTTGTGAAGATAAGAGGTGGACAGAACTAACTCAGGATCATGTCCAATGGTGAAAGAGCAGGAAAAGTAATTTCGTAAAATATCAGTGTAGAAACAAAACACTTTTGTCCCATAAACTGCCCAGTGTGTAGATATGAAAAACTCATAGCACCGGCACAATATACCTGTTCATACACAATAAAAATTTTATCATAACAGAAGGAGAAATTATTTTCTGTATACAATTTATGGCCTGATACTTCCACTTTTTGGACAAGCTGTACCACTGTGTCACAGGCTGTTGTGATGTCTGTATCAGCAAATTCTCACTGATACCAAGATACACATGCACATTATAAGTGTCACCTGTCCTGTCACACTGCTCTTATTCCAAACCATATGATTTTGGGATATGCTGTATGAATGTTATTTTTCCCTTGAACAAGAGAATGACTTTATCTACTGATAAGTGTTCAGTGGACTGATATGCATTTTAAAAAGTAAACCTTTCCCATTATATGCCATGTAGGCACTTGGAGGGAGAGAAGTATAACTCTGAATCATTCTTAACCTCAGCACCAGATGGGGTGAGTGGTCAGCATCACGCCCCAGATGCGCTTTACTCCTGGGAATAGACCCTGGTACCCATTGAATAGGAGGGTGAGTGGGACCCAGAGCCGGTCTGGACGCAGAGGTTCATTGTCTGCAGAATGTAAATATTTAAGTATATGCAGAAAATTATCACATACCCTTGTCTTACAAAAAAAGGACTTGTCTGCTGTTCATACCTCAACCTCTAATCTCCAATTCTGTGTCTTTGGTCATGACCCACCTGCATTGTACGGACCAGGAAACAGAGAGTTCCTAACTTTTCACACCTTGCATAGCAGAGGTACTGGGCCTGTGCCAAGCTGCCAGGTCTTGCTTCCTCTAAAATTAAAATGCAAATGTGCACATGCATGCACACGGACATAACAACTAATTTTAAATGTATACACTAAGAAATGGTAACATGTTAAAAATGTACCAAAATTCACATCTGGTGTCCTAAAAGAACCTATATGTTTGTGGTATCTATTGGTCAACATCACAGCTTACAAACCTCTTGCTTCACTGTGAGAATTATTTCTGGCTCCAACAGTTGCTCATGTATGGAGTAATCTGCCATTGTCACAACAGTGAACCTGTAAACAAAGAGACAGAATTCCTTCAATGATATTCATTCTCATTGCACTGGATGATCTATCTGCCAAATCCACTCAGCTTTTTGGGAACTGGTTATATGCATTCCACACACATAATCTGTGTAGCCCTTGACAAGCAACCCTACCCTTACGACAGATGTCTTTACATCATTAATACCATAATTCTTATATCATGTCATAGAAATCACTGTGATTGTTATGAATGAAAATAAGACAACAAACGCTGCTGTTTATATCTAAAGTTAAAAATTATCCTTAAGAATATATTAACATAGATCTTTCACTGACAACTGTATCAGAATATTCTATATTATCTGAGGCTCCAACATTGGAAAGTGGAGATCATGGTAACTACTAAATGGGAACATTTCAACTCATTTGGCTTTAACCTTTATTGCCTGTGTGTCACATTGTATGAGCAGTCCTGTTTGCTCTGCAGCACAGTAGCATATTGCTAAACATTAAACCCTGAAGTTAAAGTCTGGCTAGTTGCCCCATGGTATGGGGTTTTAAATCCACTACTCTTGAGTGATAAATGTTAAAAAATTCCATACCAACATTCTAAATTGATGTATGTGCCCAACTGATTGTCTGTAGAGGTCTCTCAACCTGCAATACCACCAAACATGTATTAAAATCACTTAAGAGTTGTATCAATTTAAATATACACCTTGTTAAATAGATTCATAATGTGGCTCTCCTGTTACATTAATTTTGGTCCTTTCATCACCAATCATTTATTTTATAAATACATTTGTTACTGTGAATGCATTTATTTTTAAAATCAGGTGGAATGGATAGGCAAGTCAGCAATGTTCAAACACAGCATCATCACATCAATTTAAAAATACCACAGTATTGGCTAGAATGGCATGCTGCCTGGACTACTAAATTACAGAGAAAATCAAGATTCAGCTACATTCTGGCAACTTAAACAGACTTACAGCAATCACAGTATGTTAATTCTTATATTATAATCATACTCCTATGAAGTCGGACCATAAAATATAAATACATAGAAGAGCAACAGTCAAAATACAAGGTTAAACAACAATTACTGTATTTAACCAACAGCCTCACTTTGATCACTGTGACTTGTTTGTCCATTCTTGGACGACACTACTTTTCAGATTATGTATTATGTTTTCGATAGGCAGTGAATGTGGCTGCTACCTCACTGGTTTCCAATATTTTTTCATATTATCTGCAAAGGCTGAATGTAATTTAAAACTATTGCAATTACGTTTATGTATTTAAAGTTGCAACCAATTTTAACAGTTTTGGGTTACGAATGGATACGTCAGTGACATGTGAAGATACTATCCACAGATTACTACCAAAAGATTTCAGACTTGACTGAATAAAAGGCATGTTGTTGCCTGTGAAAATCCAAGCTACATAGACGATTAGATTTGCAGTATAGGTTGTGAGGAAAAAAAACTCTCTTGGCTGTTCAGTGCATTAAGATTTGAATTCATGTCGGGTAGATTCTCCATACGTCCTAATTTCTCGGGAAAATGACAACTGACACGAAAGTAATTATTATTCACTATCCCTTATCTTCATTTACCTTCCTACCTGGACATCTGAACAAGATTACTTCACTGTATTCTGAATACAATGCTTGCTCCATGCAACATTTCGTCAAAGGCAGGTAGGGATTCGGTTTCCATAACACGTATGAGCTAAAGTTTTAGAACCCGTTTAAGACGGTAGCGAGGCGGATACTCTACGAGTAATCGCAGACAAATACCACCGTATCAGCACAATATCATAACTCATAAATTACTTTTAAATGTACATTATATCAAATGTGGATCATATTTTAATTTATAGAGTAAAATCCATGACAAGCCGATAGAACGCTGCCTTTACGTGTTCTTCAAGCAAACACAATCTCCGGAGCAGTATCAGACTTCACATTGGTAGAGACCTGAACAAGTCCCTTTGGGCATGCTTTGCTTTGAATAGAATAGAATTTATTTGCATTCCATATATCCTTCATAGGCCTAAGCCAAGGATGTAGAACAGGTCATAGCACAAATACAATTCTTGTTTCTAGTACAAATATAAATATATTACAGCTATTTACAGATTTTTGGAACTACAGTATTACAGCAAAATAATTATGATGAGAACTTTTTATAGTAGGTGGAAGATTATGTTTATATTTCAGATAATTTTAAGACAGTGTTGTTTAATGGTTCACATAAAAATGAGAACAAGCAGACAAGTTTCTGTTGTTGACATGTTTCTCTGCATGCAGCAAAAAGATAACAGGAGACAAATGATAATGACACTAGACATGACCTGACAACAAAATTAATAACTTTACAGATACTTAAGAACTATTACTAAGTGCAAAATAAATTTTTTGCAAGTAAATCCTCACCGTGTTGGCTCCTGTCAAGGCCAAACACAAATTTCAGGCTTTTAGCACATCCAAATCAAGGTGTCCATGCAAGCCCTTGCTGAATGAGATGAGCGGTCTTGTTGGTGGAATTAATATTGATTTCATCTGTCAACTAATCAAAAAATGGAGAAACTGCTCCATGTATATTTCAAAATTAAATTATGTCCTCAGAATCGGACAAATAATTCAACTTTTACATACACCACACCATACATAAATTTTGGAATCATGTGATGAAACCTTGCATGTTTTTGTCTTGGATCGTGTGAGCTTTGCTGTCCACTACTATTTTGTGACTACATTTTCATATATATATATATAGAAAGAAGCCATCAGAAAACAAGTAATTAGAAAGTCAATTATACCATCAGTATACTGGTGTAATGAATTATAAAACTTCTTGTTGGTGTGGTTTAGTTGCATTCATGGATTGCTGTTGTCTTATGTGGTTCCACTTTCATCAGTTCTGTGGCAGTCTGTCCTCATGATCTGAAAACCTGATCTTTGTGCTGGCCAATTTCTAAGAAGTAAGTTCAAACCCAGCAGCAATTCAATCCAATTTCTGTTCAGTGAACACTTGGTGATTTGATTTGGTTTTCTATCCACTTTATTATTATTATTAGTGTTCTGTCTGACGACAGGTCCATATGAACAGGATCCTTCCATCCTTTTCTCGGACTGGGACCTGTTCATATACGTTCTTGGCAGATGATCCAGAAGTGGTTTGCCATTGCCTTCTTCTGTGTGTGAATGGAGTAATTGTTGGGATGCCACGGAGGAAAACTCCGTTTTGCCTAGACCACGGCCTTGCCCAACACAAGTTATAAATTCGGGCACCGCCGGGAATCGAACCCGAGACCCCAGGATTACAAGGCCAGCGTTCTAACCGCTAGACCACCGTGGTGGTTCTATCCAGTAAGGACTTTATTTGTCCTAATTTACTTATAATTTTACTAACACTTTTCTGTGTGAAACTGTAACCTCCCAAAATTTCTGCCAAATACTCACCTTGCATTTCTTTCACAATTACTTTTCACATACCATGCATTAACACCCACTGTTCCAGCACATTTCTCGCACATAACATTTTGAGAGAAAATATCAAAATTAGATAAACATCTACTTACTATTACACAGCATCAATTATGGTATCTGGAGTTAAAGCAACATGAACATCAGGCAAATAAGAGTGGACCAACTTACAATGACTAAGTTCACTTTGCAGCCATGATGTCTGGAACACTCGCTGCATATCACACATGTTATATTCAATTCAGAAGTGCACATGTATAGAGTACTGACAATGTTAATCCCAAGAGGCGAGGTAGAAAGTGAATAATAAGATACAAGGGACACAGAATACAATAGTGCAGTTTCCAAATATGTGCAGCATAAAAGTCATTCTATTACAAATTTTGTGATGTTATTAATTTGTCAGTACAGTATAGTCATTTAAAAGGGGCACAAAAACAGCAATATCACCAGTAATTCATCAGTTACAAATTTTGTGCCTGAAGTTTATATAAAACACCAAAAATCCTCCCTTTCATGTAATGCTTGTTTATATACAAGATATTTAGTTTTGTGGTGTGTATTTTGTAGAACTTCAAACATTCAGAATGTAAATTACTAATCTTTTATTTGTAACAGGAATTAAACAAACTCAATTCTGATGTCCCCACAATAGGATCTAACTTACTGTTTTTAGCAAACTTGGGACAATGTTGTTAAAACTGTTACCAATCAAGGTATGCAGGTGCTAAAACACAATTTTATCAACAGCAGGTGATCAACGAAAGACATTTAAATATTTGTAAATAGATGCTAAAGAAGAATAACAGCTTACATAAAACCATAACATTCAATTACTGAGGGAATCCTGTCTGATAATTATCATACAAGATTTCCTAAATATTTTTACAATGCGTATTAAGAGTACACTAAAATTTAATTATTTCATAACAGTATTATAATTTTGTTAGTGATGCAGAGAAAAGTAATACACGAAATACTTTATGTTATCACCTCAATACTTCAAAAATAATTGTTCTTTATATTCTATGATAACAAAAATGTGAAACTCACGCACTTGCATAAGTCACTTGTACATAAAACAAGATCAATATTCTGCAGCTAATTCTACCATGTCTATGTGTACCAATAGTTCATGGTACAGATTATTTCACTTTAGTACCCTATAGTTTATTGTTTTCACTACTGACTGTGCAACAGGAAATACATGTACTTGAAATCCATAGCAATTTTCTTTGTACACAGGAGAATCAGCAGCACTGCAATATCATTGCACTGTACACACTCCAAAAGTAAGGTGTACTATCAAAGCTTACTTAGAATATTAAGCTTTTTCTTCATTTTCCTCTCTGTAGTGTGTTTAGATGAAAAAAAAATACATTTCATAGGAATATAAACTGAGGTACATACTGCAGGCAGCTGAACCAGATGTTAAATGGTTTGCACCAGCGACTTCAAGAGTAACACTCGTCATCCATCTCGAATATCAATTTCACTTTCATTCCTTCTCCTGGTTTCTTAATTGGTTTACCACCACCATTTCACAATTCTAAGCCATTTTCTAAATTTGATGAATTCAAGTGAACACATGAAGAAAGGGAGATGTCGCCATGAATGAATCTGTTTGTCTGAACATTGCACAGTCACAAGAATGCATAGAAAGCCATGCAACTCAAAACTTATTTTCCAAGGCCATTAGATATACTCATGGTTACCTGCTTACCAGGTTAGAATTTTTTATCCTACAAGCTTAACAGACAGTACTATATAAAATTAGACCTTCAAACAAAAATCTAAGATAAGATGTCTAAACGAGAAATATTTTGGCTTTGATTAACTCTTATGTGATGGCATGAAATATTGTAAACCAGGGGTGGCCAACCCAAATGATCTTTCGGGCCACTTTGGAAATGCATCATAACTCCGCGGGCCACATATAAAATTATATATCCCCATATTAGATTTAGATACACTATAGACATTTTTTTGGAGTGAAAAATTGAAACATAATGAGTTATTATTATTGTGTTTACTATTATTCTTACATGTAAACATAGATAATATAATAATAATGAATAAAACAGGCAATATCTGTCATATATTCGCAAGAATATTATTTTAAAATCAAAGTTAAATGTTCAAGGCGGGCCGCGGGTTGGCCACCCCTGTTGTAAACAGAAACATTTGCGTCCATAACATATAATAATTTGGGTTAGGGGAACTGCATTAACTAATTATTTCAATGGCCTACATGAGTTATACCCTACCTCACAAACTACATTCTGGGAGCCTCTTGATACCAAATATTAATAATATGCCTTGACTTTACATTTTAATTAAAAAATCAAGCTTCAGGGTTGTAATAAAAGAATGAATGTTAACAATGCATAATGGTAATTTCAAATAAATAGACATTTCTACAGTCTAGATTCTTTAGTTTTGAGTCATAAGCTAAATTTACTCACTAAAAATAGTTTGCTCACATTTCTTTCTCTTTTCACTCAATATAAGCTATGAATGAAATCAAATGATGCAGAATTTGAGGTTCTTATATTGGTATAAGTAAAGGAAGTGGCTTTCTGAAATCTTGAAAATAAATTAAGCTACTGAAAGCACACTGGTCAACTACATACTGGCACACCCCTTCAAAGTTCTGTCATAATGTTCCCATGTGCTTGGTGACAGATAACGTGAATTCACCAAACATTTCACACAGTAAGTTCAACACTTACTCCAGCAGATTCACTCCTGACAATAGTAATGATCTCACAAACACAACTTCCAGTCCTAATTCAATGGTCTACAGCTGTCCACAGCAGTCCATTTAATTATATATAGGGAATTAAAAATGGCAAAATAAATACTAAATTATTTTAAATAGTGCCCAAGGTGCAGATTTGGAGGCAATGTATACATGGCACAAAAAATGAATTTACAAATATGAAAATATAATTTCAGTATAAAAAGTTTAAAAAGTATACACACACACTCATCCTTTACCGAATACTGACACAAAGAAGTCACATGGAATGAGAACAAGATTCAAGGCACACATCCTAGGAAATGGGCCATCAACATTCAATTACTTTAAATTTCTCTTTTCAAGTTGCTGAATATACAGAAATATCAATGAGGTAATATACATTCCTTAGTTATTTTTTCAGGACCTATACCCTCTCTCTTATCAGGGACTCTGCTCTCTTCATTATTATCATCTTGGTGTATTTCTTCTCTGTTGCAAGAATTCGGCAAAAGAAGAACTTTTGTGGTCTCAGGAACAATCTCCTTATTATGTAGTATCATCATGTGGCGCTTAAGTTTGCTACTTTGAGTGTACTGTTTACCACAGAGAGAGCACTTGTATGGTTTTTCTCCAGTATGAGTTAACATATGTCTCTTCAGAACTCCACTGCGAGCAAAATTCTTCCCACATTGACTACAGCTGAATGGTTTCTCACCTGTATGACCTCTAACATGAACTCTTAAATCACTATTCTGCAAGAAACTTTTTCCACAAAAGCTACATGAATGAGGCTTCTCCCCACTGTGAGTTTTCATATGATCTTTCAAATGACAACCTTGAACAAAACTTCTACCACACAATGTACAACTATATGGTTTCTCTCCCGTATGTAGGAACATATGATCTAGCATATTGTGCTTTTGTACGAAACTTTTACCACAAACAGAACAACTATATGGTTTCTCACCTGTGTGTGTTCTCATATGCATTTTCAACTGTCCGCCTTGAACGAAACTTTTTCCACACTCTGTACACGAATAGGGTTTTTCACCAGTATGAATTCTCATGTGAATAGTTAGGTCACCTTTATGTGCAAAACTTTTACCACATTGTGTGCACATGTGTGGTTTTCGGTCAGTGTGAGTCAACATATGTTCCTTGAGATGTCCTTTGTGCATGTAACTTCTGCCACATGGACAAGTAAATGGTTTTTCACTGAAGTGTGTTTTGACATGAAGTTCAAATTCTACAAATGTCTCAAATATATTTCCACAGTGTTTGCATATAAATTTGCCAATTGTTCTTTGAAGTCTAATACTGCTTGACTTTTGCATTCCAATAGGCTTGATGTCATTTTGTGAAATGACCTTCTCAACTCCACTGGTTGAAGGGCCAGCCAGTGGTTCCTGAACTGTAGGAGGTGCAATCTGCTGACTGGAACAGCATTTAAAATATGCATTATAATGCAAGCATAACATTAAGTTCCTTTTGTAAAATTAGTAGTGCTGATTCCATTATGATCTGAAATATTCATTCTTGGCCATTAACATAAAATGAGACATATATTCACTTGATATTATTGAGAACTTCAGATAAAAACAACTGCAGGGAAATCATGGTGGAAAAATATACTTCTCCACACAGAAGTAAACCTCTAGAATACATTCAATGCCTGTAAAAATAAAATAAAATAGAAGGACCTCAACTGCATCAACTGCATTGTGAATCAACTCCTATCAACCAAATCCTGTTTTACTGTGAACTGTTTTATAATGTTTATGTAACTTATTACAATAGTTGCTCAAGTGGACACCACCTTTTCCTAGGCAAGTTGTCATTCTCATTACAAGAGAACTAGCTGTTCTGCAAATCATGATGCCATCTTTTCTGATCTGTAAAGTCGCATCAAAGATGCAGCCAGTTAGCTATACTATCATTTGCAGTATTGTTTCATAAACACTGCATCCACAAACATTATCATACCTGACAACAACAATGGGCAAGCTTACAGTCCTCTCTGGTGGATCCAGCAACCTTCAAACTGCTGGTTTATATCTTTGCTTTAATAATACTACATGTCCATAATGCCTTCAATATTTAAAATAGCAAAAAATGACTACTCTTGTTTTTTTTTAAATATATATTTATAATTCCCACCAGACATGTCATGGGACTATAAAAATCTGGCAAACAAATCATTGTGGTTTTTCACAATCTGACATAATTTTTGTTTTGTGGGGTTCAAATTCATTGACTCTAATTTCAAGAAGTGCAGAACATGAAAGGAATGGTTCCATCTCATACCGTCACTAAACAAAGGTGTCTGAAACATTCAAGAGTCAACCAGTAATCCTTTAAAGTGTCTTGTAAGTCATGTTACATATGTATTATAAGAGCCAAAAATAAACATTTCAAGTATTTTGACCCAGGAACACGCACGCAAAGTTTCTAAACATACTTTTGACTCACTCTGTATATGTCACTGCTGCAGCTCCTTGATTCCCTTCATTTCATCCCCGAACAATGTTTATGTTTTAAGAGGGATATGATGTTTATGCCATGAGTCAGCAGCCCAGATTGGTATGACAGAGTATAATCATTTTCTTGGGTTAAAGTAGCTGAGACATGAAGCTGACCACTAACCTCCATCTAGTACTGAAATTAAGACTGTGTGGACCATATCTCCATCCCCCACATAGCTTTTCGGTGTGAAGCTTAATGGAAAGCACTGGAGAAATTTATCTTTAAACTTTTAGAATGTCACAATGTTGCAGTAACAGCAATTTAACAAAACATTCCATGTTCCATCCCAGGGTATGTTGTGATAATAAAGGTTAAAGAAACTGAATGTAGTTCAAAATAACATTGATCAGACCATTTTGTAAATGCCTTATTTCATTCATAACAGAATTCATTAAGCTTGTTTTCTCTGTTCCATTCTGTACAATGACATGTTACATGGGTAACCAGATGCCATCAGCTGTAGAGAACTAAAGATCAGATATAATCTCATGAATAATTCTACAGTTTTGATTACATAAGGTAACTCTCAAATTTACAAACATGTCAATCATGAGACTTCTTTCCCTTCATGAATTTATCAGTAAGACTATATGGCACAACAGAGGGATGTACTGCTTTGTGTGACAGAGTAACTGCGGGATGCAAAATGAATCACTACAAGTTTCTTACACTGTGACATTTAAACATATCCAACTTCAAGAATGTAAAACATAATTACCTCCTATCATGGATTTTGTCAGCTCCAACCCCTAGGCCAATAGATTGAGTTTTATCAGGTTTAACTTCTCCCTGAAATGAACAAAGTAAATTATATTTCCTTTAAAGGAAATAATAGAGTTATGCATTATGTCTAAGCACTGCACACAGGTGAACACAGTCCATGTAATGAAAGTATATTATTAAGTATTTATACCTATGAACATACATAATTCAGACAGTGTCTATACATCTAAATTTGGCATTACATGTAGATATAAGACCAGCTTCATGCTCCACCACTTCTCTAGAGAAAGAGGCATTGTACACACTGGAAAAGAGTCTGGTGAACCACAAAGCCATTCGAGAGAAAAAAATTCTAACACCTCTACAGGAACTCAATTTGACATTTTATTGACTCTTTCACTTAAAGCATTCATTACTACCTTAACAACGTGCATAACCATCCTCAGCTTAGAGATCTACGTGAGATATAATTTATCAGACTGTAGTTATAATACCATTATATTTTATCCTTCTTCAAAGCAACCTTCCAAAATGTCATCAGCACTGATAAATAGTGGTTCATATTTGATGCCAATCAATGCATATGCACATCATTAATGAAGAATCAGAATATTACATAATTATATAAAGCTACAGAGTTAAACTTTCACTGTTAATGAATAATAATTTAATACAATAGACAGTATTCAATGGTTGTTGAATATGCATTTATCGTGTTATTTCTTCATTACCTTCAAAATACTGCTGAAAAATTCAGTTACAATGAAAAATTTTGACTTACTGATAAAGTTTCCAAAATATGGTTCCAAGCAAAGTCCACGACTTTCATTACATTGGAGACAATTGTATACTGAATCTTTCCTCTATCCCTTCTCAGAGGATAATTTGCAACACTTCTTCATTGTTTTTCCTTCCTCATTTGCTTTTCACTTGTCTGAAGATGACCCGCTACCTTACACATGAATTTCACAGTTGTAGGAATGAAAGAAGACAACAGATGCCAAATAATAAAACTATATAAAAATTTCTTCTTCCTCCAGTGTCTGCAATGCTTCTTGAACACATTTAGCACCATCATGTCATCTTAAACGACAGTCCTTATATCCTTATACAACTGAACTGTTCTCTTCTCTTTGGATAAAACAAACACATCTGACTTTGGTGATCAACACCTCACCCACAGATATGTGTTATATAGTACCTCGTTACTTGTACTATATACCTACGTTAGTAATAAACACTTGAGGATGAGCAATCATGATTGGTAAGATCAGTGAAACTGAACTCAGTGTGGAACAACGGCTTAATGAAATCATGTTTGGAACATCAATACTAGGTTCCTACTTGGGTAAATAATAAGAATTAGTGTGTAATCTAGATGTACTATTAAAATGTTCCTGATCACTTTCAGCTTACCTGATTCCTTGCCTTTCCTTGCAGTAAACCATGTTCTGAAACACCAAATGCATTCCTGTAAAAATAAATTAAACATTACTTAGTAAGATTTCAGTTTCTGATGGTAATGAATATGAAGATGGCAGCGTTCTGGAATTCTGAAAAATGTAGTAACACAAAAGTTAACCACATTTTGCAGGTGATGATGGATGCAGTATGCACTTCTGAAACGTCAGTTAATTTATACGAGACTACACAGCACAATATCTCAGATGACAGTCATCTTCTAAATATCACTCAAGATATTTCCATGTATCATCAGCAAAACCTGTAATTTAATCCATGCACTTCAGTTTCACTCAGTACGTCTAAATAAACAGCCAATTACAAACTTCTCAGTCCTTAATAGGAACTTATATCTATGACCAATCTGAAATATGATCAAGTTTAAATTGATAGTTCAATGCATGGTACATGTAAGTTGCAATGCACAGACAGTAATGGTTAAATTTATTCATCCATCTGTAGCTCTGGCTATATAGTCAAATGAGAGACAGTGAATTGGAAATGATGTAGATGGAAGCAGTCATGTCCTAATTTAGGGCACTATCCAGGCATTTGCTTGGAAGGAATGAGGAACACCCCAGTGACGATAGCCGGTCTCAGGGCCAAGATTTAAACCTGGGACCTCCCACATACGAAGCAGGATACATGATATGGAAATTGAAGTTGAGGCCAAGAGACTAAAAACATATCTTCATTTATCCTCAGTACTTTATATGTCCTTTTGGTCTGTTAAATTTTATACTGTAATAAGACGAGGATGGAGAAGTCTTCTGACAATTTACATCACCAAATATGAGGAAGACATTCATCAAGCAGGCTATCCACATACATGAAGTACAAAGAAAATTTAAACCTACCTCTCTGTTACTTCAATGCTGAGACCATCATCCTCCCCACAAGAAACATCCTGTGGTTCATCTTTCACCACCACAAACTCGAAGTTCTCATTAGAAGATATGGCACAGTCGTGTTGGGCTGCAATGACAGAATTACCACTGTCTTCCCCATCCTGTAAAAATATCCAACATATAATTATGGTTTCACATAAACTGTCTTGAATGTTTTTAAACAGCTTTCTGGAATGGTTTGGATTGTGAGTTTACTTGTCTACATGCAACAAAGAACCTACAGTCATTTAGGATTTTAACATGTGGCTTGTAGTATTGTGTCCTTTCAATAACAGACAGAAATAACGGTGAGGTTTAAGATATAAACTTCTAACTATGTTATGTCTTTTGAGCAAATATGTAATTCAAAAATTACAACATTCGTCTTTATGCGACATGCCCTGGTCCCCAACTACTTCTTCCTTAGGTCAAAAAATATAAATGCTACCTAGACTTATACTCATATTAATATTATTTTACTATTCTCAAGCTTAACAGAACAGAAACACTCCAAAATCAAATAAAACTCATCTTATTTTATTTTGGTACAATGAATAAGGACCTGGGAAGACCACCACATCTCTGGGGCCAATGAGAGTATGTACCTCATTCCAATAACTTCAGACCAATGATAGACTGATGAATTTGGGCCCAGGTCAAATGACCTTCGACTGATGGCATTTGCATCTATGGCCAATGACAAATCTTCTCGAATTAACTGCCTACAGTCTACAGCCAATAAGCATGGACCTAAAACATGACCTTGAGATCAGGAACAATTATCTTGGACCAAAGACCAATGAGAAACATGGGACTAGTGATATTGAAACTGCATATAATGACCAATAACCCTGGGAACGAGATTGAAGTCAGTCATCATACATGCTAGTCAGTTTTCGTGCAAAGTGACCAATACTGTTGTCTGATTTTACCCATAACTGCAATGTGTTCCTCAGTACAAAATTTCAAGAAAATTTGTTCAGTAGTTTTCAAGTTACCAGTGGACAGACAGATGAACAGACGTGGTGAAACTAATATGCATATTTTTGCAATTTGTAGTTCCAGGTACAACTAAAATCCTGTGATACCTGCAATACTGATATGAACTTTTTGATGATCAATATTTTCAATTTAGTTTCATTGTTGTACCACAGACACACACTAGCGTGAAACAATGAACAAAATATGTGAACAGCTTTGCTTGACATGTTAATATACTGTCCTCTGTCAACTGCATTAAATTTACAATTATTACTGAAAAGTAACAACCACCAGAAGAGAGGATATGTGGCTTAGCAGAGGGGGGTTATATATTATTCCCAAAGTGAGGAGCAGAACTAGAATCTCCATACATACTTGGGTTTTAGATTCATTTACTGCACTGTATCAATCTAGCTATCAATTGAACTAAAATAAATAAATTCAAAAATGATAAACATTCATATGCTTTCATTAGTAATTATTTATATAACATGTGGGATAAATTCAGGATGTTCACCACTCACTTTAACCTCTTCTTTGACTGTCACAATTACTTCTGGTTCCAGTATACAATCATCTTTCCCCAACTCGTCTGCCTTAATAATTTCTTCTTCATAAGGCATCACACAACTTCTGTAGAGAAAAGACAGGTCCATTTCAAACAAGATATGTTAAGAATACAATATGTGATACATTAAATTTCAGAAATAATCCTGGGATGTGAAAACTTACGTAAACAGAAACCAAATAATTCTAGACTTTTGTTGCTGCAAGTATGTTGACGGTATGTCCATTAGATTACCTTGGTATAATATTATGGGCACATGATTCTTAAAACAGAATAGGGAAACAGAATTTAATAAACGTCTTTGTTCTAAACTCAATGCATAATTTCTAGTGATAGTTACATGTCAAATTCGTAATATGTATCCTCCAAATTCCATGCATGGTAGTGTATCATACATCACTAAATCACTTAGTAGGTGAGGTGATACGTAATACAACATTATGGGCGTAAATGTACGTTATAACCTACCGATATGAATTAAACATCTTTCGATGATTAAAATTCCGATGCAGATGAAGAAAGAACAATTCAAAATATCAGTCTTCACTGAAACTGTAAAAGTGTTTCTTGCTGCTTGAACATATAATCAGTTCAGAATACTCGATATGGCGTGTGCAATAACTTTGTAACCACAAATTTGTAATAATCACCAGTCCTACAGGCGTTATTAGAAGATATGTGGTGGCAGGATCCTTGAGTCAGGCAATGTTGCTTCAGTTTACTTCTTTCGCGAAGTTATATTTATTTTCAAACTAGTTAAGTAAGTAAACATAAATCTGTTTCCGCGACATTTTACATCCTTTTCAAATTCCGAATCGATAAATACTCAAACGTGTTCCGGTACTCCATACTGCACTTGAACATATCGAACAGTGCGTACACATGAAAAATGGCGATTTGTATCTTCTATGCAGTAGCAGTCTCTCTGTGCAGTTGGGTCTCTTGACTTCTTAGTTACTGTTTATCACCAGACATGAAGGATATCGGAGGATCTTAAAATAGAACAGTAATGTTTTTATACAGTTCCCGTTAGGCCCTGCAACGCCTAGTTACAAAGTGGGACAATAAATCAAACGAAATAAATATAAACACGAGCACTTCAAACGGGGATATTCTGCATCAGGGCTGTGCAAACGTTTTTTAAACCACAGGACCGCAATCACGGTTCTATAGATTAGAGTGCACTATGTTTAGATAATTAGACACATTATAATGGCGTAGCTCAGTATAGTGACTGGCTACAGACCGGACGACCAGGGTTCGATCCCAGACAGGGGCAGAGGATTTTTCCTCTAGACTCTGCGTCCAGACCGGCTGTGAGACCCACCCAGCCTTCTATCCATTGCGTACCGAGTACCTTTCCCGGGGCAAAGCGCGGCTGGGACGTGATGATGACCACTCACCCCTATCTAGTGCAACCCACCCAGCCTTCTATCCATTGAGTACCGGGTACCTTTCCCGGGGCAAAGCGCGGCTGGGACGTGATGATGACCACTCACCCCTATCTAGTGCTAAGGTTAAGAATGAGTAGGAGCTATAATTCCTCTCCCCCCAAGCGCCTACATGGCGCAGAGGGACAGCTTTACTTTACCTTTAACACATTATAAATAATATCGAAAACGTAACAAATTCCACATACAATCATTCTATATATTATTTATAGTTTTTGACCATCAATATAAACACGGAGCTTCACTTGTGATTAGACATGTGCCTGCTACCTAAAAAGCAAAGCTGTCCCACTATATGTAAAATTTTATTTTCTTAGCCAGTATCCAACTTACCACAGACCCTGCCTTCACATCAGCATACAGCTGTAAATCCTTTGCCGCAGGTACCTCATTTTTTCATAACTTGGTTAACAGAATTCAAGTCTTTGTTTACCATAACTATGTTTAATTAACTTACATATTTACTTTGATACATCAAATGAATGATCTCCATCAGATATGAAGTCTGAGGTGGCTACAAAGTATTATCCAGATATATAAAGAAGACAATTCCAAGAATTTCCTAGCATGTCCTGAAATGTCACTTAAAATGAACAATGATACAGAATATATAGTAATATAAATATTTCTTACAATTAACTTTGCCCAGCATTGCTAGTAATAAGTACTGGCTTTGTTGAGACAAGTGCTAAAGCTAAAGCTTCACTTTCAGCCCTTTTATCATTATGCACCAGCGCATGTTGGTTGAGGATATCCCGGCGGGTGAATCCTTTACCACAAAATCCACATTCAAACGGTTTATGATCTGTATGTAGGTGTTTATGGATCTTCAAATTTCCATACACTGCAAAGGCCTTGCCACATACGTGACAAACATGCGGCTTTTCTCCAGTATGAATGTACTCATGCGTTTTTAAATTGCTGTGTGCAGTAAATCCTTTGCCACATGTACCGCATACATATGGTTTCTCACCTGTATGTATTCGCTCATGAGTCTTAAGATTACTGAGGGCACAGAAAGCTTTACCACAATCCCTACACACATGTGGTTTTTGTCCAGTATGAATAAGTTCATGTGCTTTCAAATTGCTGCGAACAGTAAATCCTTTATTGCACACACCACATTTATGTGGCTTCTCACCAGTATGAATCAATGAATGTGTCTTCAGATTTCCCAGCACTGCAAAGCATTTCCCACACACAGCACACACATGTTGCTTCTGTCCTTTGTGATTCAGTAAATGTGATTTCAAGCTACTAAGCTGCACAAACATTTTGTGACATATACCACAGCTATATGGTTTCTCTTTCACAGCAACTGTCCCTGGTGACTGACAGACAGGTATAGTTCTACACAGAATCGGAGAGAATTTGTATCTACCAGATAACTGAAACTGAAAACTCTGGAAATTAGGTGATTTAATTGATGAGCCTGGTGAGGAAAACATATCTGTCTGGCTGACAGATGAAACTTCTTGTAAACTGGGGAAAAAAGAAACACAGTTATTTCTTTTCTATTAATACCTCAAGCTTGATGTCATAATTTTCTACTTTGGACCAAAAGACAAACAGTTTAATGATAACATACCAAAGGAAGAAGACACCAGAATAATGAATGATGGTTACAACAAATGAAAAGAATAGTACATAAAAAAGTAAAAGCAGTATGATTTCAGGACAAATAAAAAGCTGAGGAGGAAGAATAAAGCATGTCAAAATAATAGGGCACATTCTGGCTTATGGTTGTATCAGAGATAACTAGATGGTTTTTAAATCAGACCAAATGATCTGTGGAAGGGAGATTTGTTAAAGAGGTAGAAATAAAATCACCAGCATATATTCAAACTGGGGCATTATAAAACGAAGTTTGTCAAAGTTTAATACTTGGTCCTCTGCTTTTCCTCATTTCTACTGACAATTTACCACCCACCATCAATTCTCAATCTAAAGTCATACTTTTTGCAAATGATACTAATAATATTAGTTCACTAAGACAGTCACAACATACATCATGAGAAACAGGTCAGTGACTCCACCATCTGCAAGTAAATAACATGTAAGTTATAATTATCACACATACCTTCGGCCAGTAGACGTTCAATCATTTGCAATTATTTGCCCATTTTCCAATTTTTGTAAGTCACTTCTATAAAAGAGTGTGATGAATTCAGTAAAGAAATACATTTTTATCCATCTTCATTCAGTACAGTATCCCTCAAATTACACAACCTTTTACTCTGTACATGATATCAAGTATTTAACTTCTGTCTAAAAACTATTGAAAATTACATTCAGCAGGTATTCGGTATACAGAACGACTCATGCATCTTAGAAATGCCTTATTTGATGCCTTACCACACTTTGATCACCCACCCATTAACATTGCATACGATTTCTGACAATATATTGAGACCCAAAGTTAAAGTAATGGTATATTTAATTAGTACCACCAATAGCTTCAAACTAATTAATTATTGAATATTCATCGCCCTGATGACGGAGGCAGTATGACCTCTGAAACGTTCGTTAACATCGACCAGACTACATAGCGCAACAACCCTGAAGACAGAAATCTTCATACTCACCGCTGTGAAAACCTCAAATCTTACATAAATACTTATTCTTTCACAGCGAAAGAAATTACTGCAAATAAAGACGAACAGTAAAATAGCACGGACCTATTCATAGTTTTTTATGCCAAACATCCGTGATACCTAAACTGCTCAGACTGGCGCATGTCTATAGCTCACGATACCTCAGTGTAGTATTACAATAACGCGTTAAGCCGGTTTTAAGAATAGACGCATGGCAAATTTTCATTACTTTAAATGATACTTGATACCTTAAAATGCTGTGTGTTTTAATGACTGAAACTACATTTTCTATTAACGTGTTCGATTTTCAGAAGAAGAATTGGATGGCGTAATGACTCAGGGTACATTGTTGATGCTAGAAAAGAAGCATGAACAGATGACCTGAATCAGTGTTTGTAACCATGAAGGTGTGCAATGTAAAATGTTGTAGGATCCAGGAATTAGCTCAATATACGCCATGACGAATATCGGTGTAAACTGAGGTCGAATTTCTGTCCAAAATTCGTGTACGTACAACACGTTTCAATCATGTTTATTGTACATTATACTTCATTAGTTTTCTATACACACCGGTGGCACAGCCTGTCAAAATCCACACATGATTGGTTGACCATGTGGGAATCACGGAATCGGATAATTGTACAAGCAGTCGTCTTTAGGCGAGAGCTTGCTGCTTTGATACTCGCAGGAAAACGAAGGCTTTTGACATTTGTAGGTATCTCTTAGTCGTGTCAAACAATAATTCAGCTTTCATTACAAAAATAAATATGAAATGGATTTGAAAGCATGAATATGGCTTTGTAAATAATAAATTGATGGAGTTTGTGGTCTCATTATGGATAGTACCATGTCTTTCTGTATGAAATTGTGTACTAACATGTAAGACTGCTAGCAAAACACGATTTCTAAATGCAACTCTGGTATTTACATAATTATATTAAGGCTGTCACAACCTCTCTTCATTTAACCTAAATTTGAGTTGATGGTTAGATTAGTTTTGCTCTGCTTTCAAAGTGAATGGCACTTTTGGAATATTTCTGATAGGTATATTTGCATCATCTCCTGAAATAATTTAAAAAGGCAAATACAAATGTATTGAATTTATATTTGAAAGTAGTTTGACTTTCATAACCTAAAAATATAGGAAACTACCAAACTATCCAATACAACAGCATGTTAAGGAAAGAAAATATCAAACAAAGATAGCATAAAGTCATATATATAGTTGCAGTGGTACGACAGATACCATAAAGAGTTCAGTCTCATTATACATATATATATTTATTATTTATTACAGGAAGAAATTGCATGTTATAATACTATGAAGGTGAAAACAGTGATGTTTGCTAGAAGAGTGAGTAAGAATGGACAGTACATGAAGGGGACAGTTGTTTTTTGTTATTATTATGAACTAATGATGCTGTGATTTACAGATGGCTGTTAATTTCCAAGAAATTAAATTCATACAGGTATGTATAATTATTTGTTATTTTCAGTTCTATGATGATACAATTATTTTTGCTGAGGCAGGATCTGATCTAAATTTGTGACAGCTGTTATAAACAGAGACTGAGAATGAACTTGGAAACAATGATCTAGCAATTTATAGTTTTGGTATGCACAAAGTTTTCAGGATAATTTACATACTGCAGTTAGTCCATATCTAGAATTACAAATTTGTGAATAGAGGCATATTTTTATCATATAAAGATCTACTTTCATAAGGTAAAATTATATATCTTCTGAGTGTATCACAAGCTATGGTATAAAGCCATAAAGATTTACACAGAACAAGTTTAAACATGTAACAAAAGATATAAATATGACTGGTTATATCATGTAGAGAGTGTTTTCCAAGTTGCTATATTTCAGCACGAGAGAATTGCCATACTGTGGTCCTTCATACAGACTAAATATTTAACAATGATAGATGTTATAAAAACCTGATAAAAATGTTTGTGCCAGTCATAAAATGCTACTGTATTAGAAGAGAATTCCAAAATGTATTATGAATATTGCACCATTTTCTCTATAGCAGTTATGTGAAGTTAAACTTCATCAGTATTGCCCTGGAAATTTCAAATAAGATTCTCCTTTATTTCATATGTTGGAGATAACACTGACATTATTTCACAGTTTACTGCTTCCAAATTAACATTTTAAAATTATGGGTCAGAACCCTCATGAAGTACAATAATTAACAATAAACAACAGAAAAAAAGTAATTATTTGTAATTACTACACATGCTATCATATGAAGGAGAAAAATACACATACGTTTAAACAGTTACCTGGTATTATCAAGTTTTCAAATCAATCCACATATTGTAACACAGTTCATACTATTATAAAATGTCACAAGGTATACAAGCAAAATAATTTATTATTATATTAAATGTCCGCAACAGATATTCCACTGAGCAGAGCCCTTCTTGAGAAATTAATGTTTGTTCATCTAGTTAGAACAGAATATACTTTTAAATAACTGCATCAAATTAAATTAATGTTCATATAGTTCAGGTATCGTGGAATTGCCACGTTGGTTTAATGTAGAGCAACACAAATGTAATCCTCTGGGAATAAGCTGGCTTCTTAAAATTATGTGGCACCCAAAGGTTTTGTAAATGAGATAAAATTAAAAATTGTGGTCTTCTGGGTTGTGATATCATGGGATCTAGTAGGTGGTTACCAACGTTCTGTTTCCTCCCCTTGTAATCCTTAAATATGAATTGTTAGATTTCAACAGGACAGAATAGGATTTTCATTGCTGTGATTTATGCTATGGATGAGCACCTACAAGGTCTCTGACTTATAAGCACATGTAATAATCCACTGAAGATGCTTCTGCTTTTACAGCTGTTTTTAATAAAGGACAAAGATGTGACCCTTACTGGTGATTCTTCATCACCCCAGACTTACACTTTAGATGTGAATGCAGGCCATGTAATACAAGAATCAAGCAATATGTTACCATCACGAGGCATACATCTCTCTTCTAACAGTGATGAGAAAAATTGTGCATCTGTATCTTCATCACCGCAACGACTTTCCAAGTGCCTCATGTGTGACAAGATATTTTTAAACCACGGAATCCCAGCAACAGAGGTGCCACGTCATTGCTCTGACTGCATGAAGAAATTTAACATGCCTCATTTTCTAGAGTCCCAAGATGTCTCTGTGGTTTCCAACAAGCCATGTAAATGCACAACTTGTGGCAAGGCATTCCGATACATGAGTTCCCTTAATAGGCACGTAGTTGTGCACTCTGGAGAGAAACGTTACACGTGCTCTGTGTGCAATAAAGCATTCACACAAAAGGCACACCTTAAGACTCATGCCTCAATGCACACAGGAGAAAAGCCTTTCCAGTGTCCTGTATGCAATATGGCCTTCTCAAGGAAAGGAAACCTGAAGCGACACCTTCAGGTGCACAAAGGAGTTAAGTTTTATGAGTGTGATGCTTGCAAACCACGACCAGTGCAGCGAAGTAATTAAGCCACCAATTTTTCATAGTAAATGAACTGATTATATTTGGATTTGTTTCATGAGAATGTTGAATTTTGCTATATAAATATGACTCAAGTTAATTCTACTGATTATAAGTGTATAATGTCTGATATAAGCTAATATCTACATGGTATACTAGACCACACTTAATTTGCTGTCATTGTGATTCTCTTTATGGAAAGTGCAGTGGGTACTGACTACAGTTACAGCACTTTTGCAACTGATACTGAAAGCAAATAAAAAGCATCCCACTGTTGTATCAGTTCATAACAATGTATGTCCGATCAAAGTCACATTAAAATCTCATTTTCACATGTCATTTCAGTTCATTTTATTGTATGTGAAAATTCAAAATTCATTCCTTTAGATCCATAACTATGAAAATATATCAAATCAAACTTTCAGAAATGCTTTATTATATACTAAGGCATTTCACATGACAGATGACTGTAGTAGTCAAAATGGTGTTATATATACCTTCTATTTAGATATATCTTCAGACCTGCATTATATATTTTCTGACACCTTCACAACTGCATCAGTTAAATACTGTAAAATAGAAGATTTAAAAACTTGCTAATCTAATTGTTGCTTGCAAACACAACTGCACTAACATTTATAAATTGTATTACTTTCTTTTCAAAGTATACAATAGCACAAAATTCCATTTATGTTTAAATGTAAATAATTTAGTGCAAAATTATTTAAGGACCAGACAGTGAAATGGTTTACATTCCAGCTTCATATTTGATTGGTTGCAGCTTCGAATCTTAGCTCAGAGAATGGCTATCATGGCAGTTTTTGTAAGTCTGCTCAGTCTCCAAGCAAGCAAATGCTAAGATACCACCTAAATTAGACAATGCCCACTCTTTTCACATATTTCCTAATTAACTATTCACTATTTATCACATCATTCAATGCCAACTGACAGTGCTGTTAAAGAAACTGCAAAAACATAAAACAGACATAAGGAACCAATAATTCAGATAAAGTACACTCAAAACTACTGGAGTGGTAGCAAGAGTACTGTTCCAAGTTTTGACAGAGTGTAGACTCATAGGTAGATGCTAATATTTCATAGAAACACACAGTCTCCATGTTTATAGCTGAAGATGGAAATAGTATGTTACTCCAATACACCAGTATCTACCTGCAAGTGTACACAGCATCAAAGCCCACAGGAACATCACCCTCTCTACAATAAGAACCTCAAATCTTACAAGTGAAGACGTGGATTAGGTTCAGCCTGTTATATGGAAAAGGATATTTTCAGAGCATCATGAGAAAATATGTGGAGACTCTCCCTTTACCACCTAATATAGGCCATGCCACAGCTTAAGTGACTAGATGTTATCTTCTCACCTGGATTTAACCAAAGGAGACTTCAAGTGACTTGTGCTGGATGAAGTGAAACTAAAGCGAGTTTCTCTTTGTATTGTTCAATTTATTCCTGCTAATCATTTTGTCACTGCTCCACAATCATCAATCACTTCACTGCACTGTAATACGTCCAAGAGTCCTGAGCCAACCACATTTTCATACCCTAGGTTCTAAGTTGTGGACAATCCCTGGCAGAAACTTGGCTCATCTAGAGTAAAGAGAATTCAGTCCATAGTTTAGAGGCTAAGAAAGGGTCTTCAACAAAACTATAATCTTAAAATAATCCATTAAAGAATCCACCTTTTTAATTGTTTTAAATGGAAAGACAAATTAATCATTCATTTTAATACAGCAGTAAAAAAACTACACTGAATATGCAACCTTTTCAATACAGGATAAACCATTAAAATATCAGTTCCCACCACACAACTCTGTATAACACTGTAATTCTTCCTTGCCTCCGACTTGTGTGACGTGAAGAACCGTCAGGCTGAGGTTCCAGTCAATAAATAAACTAAACCATCGGTAACACAACAACCAACAATTACAAAATTCAACTATCGCATAAGTGAAAAATAATCACTTTCCATGAAGTACCACAATATGATAAAGCATAAAACACGCGTCTTTCCAACTTACGCAGGAGCGCTGCAGTTGAATAAGCCATTCAATGGAATGTGAACAGACATACCCACGTGAATCTCCATGCACCACAAGAATAGTGGGAACTAGACAATCTTCTACATAATACAATCAGTTTTGCCCAAATTAATTTTGATCTGGGGGTGTGCAGCATCCTGATTCGCCAGAAGACACCCGGAACAACTGTAACATTGAAATCGTTTTATTATACAGCATTAATTATTACTTTCCAGACTACACTGCAACCATTCTATCCTATATTGTACTACGCCTCTTCGATCGTAGAACACGGGCTAAAATTCGCGACTTTCGAGCCGGCAGAGGTTATGTTCTGATAGATCTTTAAACTTGACCCTATACATGTAATACATGTTCGGTTAGAAACATTTGTTAATGAATGAATTACAGTTGAAACAAACTTAGACAGATTTTTACAGTGAAGTGTAATATAAAATATATATGTACATTAAAGAACAATCGGTCGTGCAGAAAGTGAAAGATTCTGTTAACTCAAAAAAGGTTATAAAATGGAATTGTTTATGTCTGAGTTACAGTCAATTTCTCGCTCTGCTTTAATAGGTTCCCCCTCTTATCCTTCACAATATGTTTCGGTTAGCATTCCTTGGAGAGTATAACGGGTAAATTACGTATAATTAAATTTGTAACAAAACATGACTTTGCTGGAGTAATGAATCTATAATTTACCATACTTCCTGAATATTTGTTTACATCATAGCCTGTTTTTCCTTGTACAGAATGGAAAATAGTGTTTCAATACAATTTAGATCGTGCATGTAACTTAGTTGTTATGCCTTCCATGTTGATAAACTTCTTGATTTTAATTTCACATTTAATCATCTGTCTATGATTCCAAAAGGCCCCAGAGTGGTTTGTTACAACAGAGAGATCTAGCAGACTTGATGCACATGATAAAATCATCTTGGGTGACCAGCTCTGTGAACGGAGAACAGAAGTCTGTTTCAGAGCCTCCGTCTGTCTCCATCATCATGGAATGATGTTCAAGACATATATTAATACACATACTTTTTGTAAAATGTGAATGAATTCCCTTTATAAACTTAACATCCAGTTTGGTCTCTTGTCACTCAGTGTATTTATTGTTGAATGAGTTTCTCTAACAAAGTAATTTACCCAGTTAGCCTTTACAGTACTGCAATTCAAGGGCCACTATTTTAAGTGATCAGTGCTTTCTATTCTTAAGTAATTCATCTTTTTTATCAGGAATAAATTTATTGACACTAAAACAAGTGCTGTAATGCCTGAAGTATGAATAATGGAGGATTCTGAAGAACATGAACATCTTCTAGAACCTGTTGTCATTCTAACAGTGAAACAAGAGCAGGTATGTAATTAAAAATAACATTTTGCTGCATGTAAAGTGTGTTTCAATTTATGTGGAAACATTTTTTGACATTACTATAATGGTTCTGGGTCCTCCCACTCAGCTACCATCTTATGGTTTCTGGGTTTTGTTTCCTGGCAAACCAACCTGAGGGTGAAGTATGTTCGTTACTTCACTCCAACATCAAGATTACAAATGTGATGTTTGTCTTCCATGTCATGTAATGCCTTCATTGTGTGGTATTGAGAATATGGATAAAATAATTGAGTTTGATGATACTTGGAATGAATGTCATTCTCTTCATGGGATCTTTACCTTCATAGTTTTATATATCCTATTATCAGTAGTACCATAATGATGGCACTGAGTGTTGCAGGTGGAAGCAACATAAATGTCATTCAGTGTGGGATCCTGAAAGTATCTATGATAAAAATTGTTGAATATTTGTTAAATGCCAAACTTCCTCTTGGCCTCTTAATACAACTGGAAGTACTTGAGGGAAAATAGGCTTCGTATGTTCTTCTGAGATCTTTTGTTACTATTAACATTTGAAGACCTCGTGGTAAGTCTGCATTTTGTACTTATGAATTTCATGCGCAGTGGAAACTGGTCTTTGTAATGGAGAAACATTGTTTTCTTTCAGGTACAGACTGAATTCTTATATATTATCTACATGGGCTTTGGCATCAAAGAGTTACAAATATTTCCTTTCCCTCTTACTAATGTCATAATCACTGTGTATCACTGTTGATGTCAATGAAAGGATGATTACATGTGGAGAACATCACCCATGACTGCCACGCCCAATGAAGGGGTCAATCCCACAAAAACAATAGCTCTCAGTCTGTCACTATCCAAGAATAATTGTTCCACTAATTGCAGAATGTTCACGATTGAGTGTATGCTATGTATTAGTCATTATAGTAAATAACATTACTCTTGAAGGGCAGTTGCCTGCAGGTCTAATTGCTATGAATTATATTCATAATGTTCATCGTGTTTCAATAACAGATTAATTTATTAATAACTGTATTATATCTTTTTAGAAACCTATGCAGAAGCTTGGTTTGGGAATGTCATAAAAAATAAAGTATTACGTTGATTATTTAAATATGTGATTTCCATAGGTTGATGCCACCGATACAGAATATGATGATCATTTTCTGAGTGGAGAAAAGTGTGAGTTTATAACTACACACAAAGAATGCAGCACTGATGGTGAAACAAATAATGGTGAATTCAGAAGGTAAATAAATGTCATTTACTTGGATGTGTAGATATGCAACTGACATTGTACAATGCAAACATGGTAAAATCAGATGTAATCATGAATCAAATTGCTGAAATAAAATTTTAAAAGGTTATATGGGGCTGTAAAAGGTTCTGTCAGTGAGATTCCCAGTTACAGTAAGAAACTAAGAGTTGAGAGTTATAGTAATCGGCATGAACCAAAAGGTTATCTTGGAGCTCACTGAGCTCTCGGTTATACCCGGAACTGTACGTAGATGGTGCAGGATCCAGGGCAAAGCAGTCTATGCAGAACCCCTCCCAACAATTTGTAGGTACAAAGCAATAAATAAAAAAGGAAAGAAAAAATAAAGCTGGTAAACCTTTAAGTTAGTATTATTGGACCAGGCTGTGTATTATTAAAGACTGTATTCTTATCACTGTTCTAATAACAGTTATAGATATTAAACTGATAATCTGTATTAAGTAAATTTATAATGGAATACTACACACAGGACACTATAAAACACCATTTATGAATATAAAATAAACAAAACTAAATATGATAACCAAAGTAAAAAGCAGGGTATTCAAATCGTTAGGAGTCACTGTCACTTTTACTATCGCTGTCACTCTCCAATGAAATGATGAAATCTATGTCATATTATCTGATATGCACTATGTTTGCATGCATTTCCTTTTCATTAGTTTCACCTTGTGACATCAGTAATTTTATCCTTACAAATTTCCATTACTTGGGGCAGCTCTTTTACTATTGATCATATCATTTCCATTTCTTTAAATCTGGATGGTACGGTGGAAGTAAAAGCACTTGGTGCATTATGTTAAACTTGTTCTATATAATTGTGGCTTAAATATATTTGAAAAGAAAGGAATACCATGGATCTGCACCTAGTTATTCAAAACTTTTTTTCTTCTTTACTTCCTGCCAACTTTCTTGTTGTGATATGGTGAATGTCCATAACCACTGATTGAGGAGGGAGACTAACTATGGGAACATGAAGTCATTCTTTAGATTCATTGCTCTATGACTTCTTGGTTATATGTCTCAGACATAAAAGATCTGTTTTTCATAATAACATCTGACTGAATACTGTATCCTTTTCCTTCCTAGCTTGTGTTATTTTTTCAATAAGAATTTTAAGTTAGGATCTTCTGTCTTTTTCCACATAAAACCCAAGGACTTCACATAGTCTTTTCATGGTAGGCAACTCCTTTCATATGGCATAAAACTCATTAATTGTTGTTAACACCACATGCCATAGGTTCACTAGAACACCTTTCTAGGAGGTGCTTCTTCACAGTTTAACCCTGTAGGACAAATCCATGGTGAACAATTCTGTTGGTATCAGAAAATATGATCAGTATGCTCATGACATCCAAGTGATCCTGCTTGGCCATTTCAGGCATGGAGATGAAGGATTTTCCTGCTTAAAAGGAAGGTCAGGTCATTCAGACACAAACTCATGATCTTTTCACAATTGTTAGCCCATTAAAAATCAGAATTTGTAAATGACACTCAACACATTCTCACTCTTAATGCACATAAGTTCACACTGAAGTAAAGCAGATGAGATTAGCACCATCCTGCTCACGGAAGTATGCATAATCACCATAATTCCTTTTGTAACGCCAAAGGGAGTTCAGAAGATTCTGGACACCACTCTATATGTATTTTACCTTCTTCAGTAGTGTGTTTGTGTCTTCAGGTACTTTACATGTGTAAAACATTAACCTTTAAGAATAGTTATGCAGAGTGACCTCTCAGAGATTTCAACATGAACATTACCACTACATAATAAGCATACTTATGCCTTTTATTCACGAAGCAATCTAATCCAGTTTCTCTTGAGTTGTGACCTGATATATTGTCCAGTTGTACTGAAAGTATGTGTTTGCATTTGTAAACATTTGATGGTATGTGAAAAGGAATGTGTCAAGTGTTGAATGCTAATTATGTAATTATGCAGATTTTGGAAATATAAAAATCCATATTAATTTATAAAAAATATCAATACTATATGTCTGTTCTTAAGAAAAGGATATGCATACATATTATTGGTACTTTCTTGGATGCATAAATGTCTGATTTCAATACAGTAACTTCCTGTGCATCATGTTTAATATATAAAAAAAGGAACTTACTTTAACTTTATTTATTACAGTGTACAAGAGAAAGGTGGGTCTTCTACACAATCTTTTGAAATACCTTCACGATACATTAGAAGTAACATGCCTCAGGAAGATACAGAGCAATATGTAGGTATCAATAATGGCTTAATCAACCACTACATTTGCTTCATTTGTAGCAAAACATTCATGGATAAAGATTCTTTAAACCGACACACAAAGGAGCATGACATGGACCGGCCTCATCAGTGTGTGCAGTGTAGAAAACATTTTGAAAAGAAAGTGTATCTCAAACGACATATTACATCAGTTCACACAGAAGAAACTCTACAGTGCCACATGTGCAAAAAACAATTCAAACGAAAGCAAGATCTTGCCAAACACATACGGTTACATGCTGGAGATGGCCATCAGTGTACTGTTTGTAAGAAGCTGTTCCGCTCATATCAACTACTAGTGGACCATTTCAGAACCCATACTGGAGAGAAACCACATAACTGTCTTGTATGCAAAAAGTCCTTCAGGTTGAAAAGCCATCTTACACGACACTTTAAAGGTCACACTGGGGAACGTCCTTACAGGTGCACTGTCTGTCAGAAATGTTTCATAACACAACAAGACTTGAAAATTCATGTGAGAATTCATACTGGTGAGAAACCATTCAAGTGCCATGTATGTGTGAGTGCATTTAAAGACAAGAGTGCTTTAAATAAGCATGTTTCAATTCATATTGGTGAAAAAAGACACAAATGTCCCTCATGTAAGAAGGCATTTATGCGTCGAGGGGATCTAGTGATACACAGCAGGATTCACACAGGAGAAAAACCATATAGTTGTGCTCATTGTGGCAGAGCTTTTACAGTGAAATGTCATTTGGGTAAACACTTACGAACAATACACAAAGGGGTTGCAATTTAACACTGTCTTTGTTGATTAAGATTGGACATAAAATGTTAACGAATGAGAAATTCCAAAAACAGATGGCCTATGAAATTGGCAGTGATACAGGTACATTTTTAGCACACTAAAGAAATCATCCTCTACTATAGTATGATATCCTTGCTCTTACTTAAGGTGGAGTAGGAAGTACAAAACCTTCACACAGTACAATTCACTTAGGTTCTATCATATTGCAGAAATATATGCTGATTGTTCAATGAATCCATAAGTAATTCTTCTGTATCCTAAGAAGTTTCACAGTTCATTTGTTTATACCTACAGAGATATGTCCAAGTTTATACAATAAATTAACCTTTATGAGAGAAATTTTTCCATAAATTAGTAGGTCTACAATATTTCAGTCACATTATTACTGCACTGTTTTCAACACATATTGTATCTTTGGATTTAGAGAAGCTGCAAGATAAAAACCAGTGTCTTTTATTGACAGTATTGTGGAATACAGTATAGCAAATGCCAATATTTATAGTAAGTTACATTCCCCTAAATGTTGTATATATAGCTCATTCTTTATCATTTTGTTTTCAGGGAAATAAATATTTTAATTTGGATACTCCAACTGTCTGAGTTATTCAGAATTGGTTTTACACTGATTGTAATTTATGCAGTTTAGCAATTTTGATTGTCAATTCTTATATTTATTTTTGCTGTGAAAACCTATACCCTGCATCTCTAAATTCTTAAGAAGACCTATACTATAATATACTTTTTTATTGTAATGTAATCTGCATACAGAACCATGACTTTGTATTAATATTTTAATTATAAACTAAAAACCTCCTCCAGTAATACAACTGCAAAACTTTTAAATTTAAAAACACTGTTGAGTTAATCTTCAATTTTACCTTATATTTTAAGTTACTCAGAACAATGTGAAATATGATCTGTGCCCAAAATTGTACTTGAGACTTTATACCTTGTGAAGATCATACTTTAAGATACATATCTGTACCCCCAATGATAAGCACTCGCATTATCACTGTTATTAGTGCTATAACCTTTTCATCTATTGATAACTTACTAATGTTACATTTTATTGCTATGTATTGGTATTATTTTGTTAGGATAATGATGTAGTTAATATTATCATTTCATATCTTCCTCCTTCCTTCCCAGTCACAAAAATAGATTCTTTAAAATTTGTTTACTTTGTTTATTTATATATCATCATGTATCTATACATAACCAATATTTGTATGTTGATCTACTCACCAAGTAAATGTATGAACATGGAGTTATCTTCTGAGAAAATAGAACATAAAGCAAAAAAGAAATCTTAACATCCAAAAGTAATCATTGGAATAAACACAGGTGTTAAAAAAGTCTCCTGCAGGAAACTATTGAAGAAATTTAATATACTCCCCTTGCAGGTGAATTCTTATTCTCCTTTGTGTTGTTCATCATGGGCAACATTCAAAAGTTCTGACATACATGGTATTAGCACAAAGCATGACCATGACCCCCATGTTCTGAATATTCGCCTCAATAGCTAACAGAAAGGTCATTATTATGTGAGGATAAGAAATACTCTTCCAGACAGCATTAAACATTTAAAGTAGAAAGCCAGCATTGGAAGATTTTCTTCTATCTCACCCCTACTCTGTATAATTTGCTTTAATTGAAAATTCTTAAATATTGTAAATATTGAGGAGGCCATGGACCGAAGAGTCATAGAAGAAGAAGATTCATATAAATATCTATAAAAACTATGTTTATATTTGTACTAAGTGTGTGTGTGTGTGGATATTATGACATGCTCCACATCTTTGGTGTGTGCTATGAAGGATAATGAAATGTAAATTAATTGTTCTATTCACTAATTGGGTCAAAAACGCACATGTTCTTGAAAATAATGACAATGATATTGCAAATCTGATCACACAATAAACTTAGTTACTTGCATGAGTTCTACAAAACGTCTCTCCACTTCACTGTGCTACAGCCCCTTTGACACTTTTCAAGTTTTACATTAAATGCTAGTCATCCCCACATCAAATTATTCAAATTACGGATGAGCTAGATAGCAAATTTTTGTACATCTTTCTCTCGATTTTTAAAATAGTGCATTTATAAACGAATTATATGCATAACTGCTCCCATTTCGTAACCAGATTGACTGATATGCATAATCTCGAGGACTTGCTTTGCACCAACCCAGTATCACTTGAAAACTAAACACGGAGAACAACCTAGTCGTACAAAATAAAACTGAGGAGATACCGAGAATCAAAAGCCTGATAATATTATATTTTTAAACTAAAATTCCACAATCTCACAAACAAACCTGTACAAAGAAGTGTTGCATATTACCACTACAACTCTCACAACTTTCAACGGTACTGAAAAACATAGACAACCTACTATATCACACTCATCAGGAGACAATCACGGCCACATTCGGATATTTATATCACGGCTTCCTAAATGCAATACACATTTAGAAATAAAACTCGTTCCGTTTCGTGAGAAATAAACAAGGTTCATAAAATTTATTAACGCCTTCTTGAAATCAGACATTTCATCTATATTGCACGAGCATGTTTCTTTATTTGTGAAATCAGGTTAATTATTATTTTAGACAGTGACTGAAGTTTAACAGAACTGTGCAGGAGATGATGTGTGACCAACTTTGAGGTCTATCAAGTGTGGAAAGACGGCTCGGAATACGTTCTCTTAAGATTTCACATTTCTGTACGCAGTTTTGATGCCCATTTATTGTATTCCCAACATTATACCCATTTCTGTTGGAACAACGGATCTGAACAGTTTCATAAGTTCGATTTAACAAGTATACAATTTGGAGCTTTCTTTGACCAGGATAAAAAATTTAATTGGCAATATTTTAATAAATATAAAGTATACCATATTTTATGCACATCTGTTAGCTTGGAATTTATAATGTGGGAATGTTGAGGAGACATTACCCTGCCACGATTCATTCTTGTAACTTACAGTACATTAATGTGACTAGCAGGGCAATAATAAAATTAGCATTTAAAATATAGAAAAAGCTAGTGTTCATCAGTTTCCAGTTATTCCCTCATATTATGTCTCGTTTAAATTTTTTCAGGAGAACTGTGAAACTTATCATTATGACCACTTCATTATAAAATATCACATTTTCAGTTGAATAGGTACTCAAAGCAGCATTCACTTATTTGCTTTATGTGTTATTTTTTGTTACATATTAATCAGACTTTAAATTAGCATAACATAGTGATTTACAAATTTCATTATGTGCTTGCATTCAGTAGCAAGAAGTATTTATAAGTTTTCTTCTGAGCTCTTACACCTTGTAGGTTATCTGACATTAATGTTTCAGAAGTACTGTCTACCCCCATCATCAGGGCAATAACAGAAGGCTGTTTCCTTTAACTTATCATTTTCTTTCATGTCTTCTTCCCCCTCCCTCCTTCTGGCTAAGCTGTGATAAGCCCCAACTTGCCTTTTGCCTACAGCTTACTCTTTGCCGTGATGATGAAGCAACGAGGACCCCTTAAACATTCTTAAACTACCAGACTACACAGCACTACAATCCAGAAAACAGTAAACTTCAACAAAAGTACATTTTCAATTTTTTCATTCCAGGTTTATGGCTTACATTTTGCCATAATGTGCAGTGCTGTAACATCACCACAGAAACTGTACTTATGTTCAGTGTGTGACAAAGGTTTCACGCTTCAAGGTAATTTAAACAAACATGCTGTGACACATACAGGGGAGAAACCTTATGTATGCCGTATCTGTGGAAAATCCTTTTCATTGCAAGGCAACCTAAAGAAACACATCATTATTCATACTGGACAGAAGCCTTACTCCTGTCACATTTGTGGGAAAGCATTCAGCCAACAAGGAAACTTGCAGAAACATACTACTACACATAGTGGAGAGAAGCCATACTCATGTGAATTGTGTGGCAGGTGTTTCACCCTAAGAGGGAATCTCAAGAAACACTTGTTCATTCATTCAGCCCAAAAACCTCATTCATGTGAAATGTGTGGTAAAGAGTTTTCACATCAAGGAAATTTAAACAAGCATATGGAAACTCATGGAGAGAAACATATTTCATGTGCTTCAAAAATTCACTGTTCACGCTTACATATACGAGGAAAGTCCATTGATTGTTCTATTCTGAATGGACACTTCCTTATGCATTAAAGATGTGATGGTTATAGTGGCAAGTTGTGGTATTTATAGAGTTCAAGACTTTACATATTGAAATAGGTTTTAAGCTTATCAGAAGCACATTGCACAACTGTAACTTCATTATAATACTAAGTCCATCTATTGTAATTCAAACTGGTATATACATTAGCAAATAAAAACATATCTTCTAACACACAACACAGATATTAGATATAATGTAAAGAATAATTTTATCATTAAATGCTCTTCCTTTCTTGCCTTATAAAAGCAACTTTTAATCATCCTTACCTCAGAAGTCTTCTATCATATTCCCTATTATGAATCATGATTTTCTGTCATTTCCTGTAGTACTGTGTTCAATAATTTCTACTGTATTATCAAAAAATGCATCTTATAGACAAGGAAACTTTCACACATAATACACCATGAGATGCCTAACTTGTAGTCCCCAAAATCAAAATGGTGGAGGAAGTTGGTGAAAGTGTGCACAAAACTCAGTGGGTCTGTGCAGTAGCATCTACTGTGGCTGTGGATAGGATACTGATGATCTTCATCATACTGAAATAAAACTGGATAGTGAAGGCACATATAACAAAAGTCACCTGACCTACAAGGTCTAACTTTTAAACTGAATCACAAGGTTCTCCTTGGGTATGAGTACATATGACTTATATACACTCCTACAGAATGCAGAAAGGTTAAGATTTTGTTAATATCAATTGGACAATGTTGGTTAACAACCACATACAGTAACTAGTGTTATCATTATTGAACAGGAGTTGTTGTTTTTTGTCTCATGGTCAGCTTGACCGTCATGACCCCTTTCAGGTTTTCTTGCGAAAGTTCCACAGTGGTTTCACCTTGCCTTCCATGGCCAGTCTTTACCCACCATGTGGAAGAGGAGACGCGGACAAACATCCATGCCTTGAGTGGGACCCAAACCCACAGTCGCAGCGGTCAAGCGCACGAGGGCCATGCCTCAGACCGCGTGGCCACTGCACTGGCGAACAGGAGTTACTTAATATCAAATTTGTAGACTCACCAAATATGTTCCATCTATTATCACTACAGAAAACACATATAAATATTATACATCTATATGATCCTCACATGGTATAACTCATAATATTTGAATGTGAAAAGAAGAAAGATGGGTCTACAGGGAGTGCAGTTATTGGAAAGACCATAATTACTAAAGAAAATATGGTGGGTGGGGCAATATATATTTTTTCTTGAAGTGGTTATCATAATGTTCTGAACAGAATGAGTAGGGTTCAGATGTTTGATGTCATATTTTTATTCAGGCTTCTATTTTAATTCTAAACTGAAATTAAACACTAATTGGGTTATTCTTATCACAATTAGACTATTTATTTCACATATAAATGCATATCTAGGTCATTTTAATGTTTTGGTCATATTTGTAGTTAAATGCTTATTTTGGTTATATTTTGGGTATAAAATTCTTACATGTAACTCACTTGATGTGGTACCTGGCCCAATGCTGCTGAGTACTACTGCAAAAATTATTCAGTTATTGAAGAAATTGTTAGCAGTTTTGACAGCAGTGAGGCATTTTATATCAAAACTGTTAAAGAACTATTTTCCAGTAGTTTGTCAGGAAGTCTGGCTTATATAAAATCTAACTATGGAGGTATAGCAACTACAATTTCTCGCCTAGAGGCAGTTGGCGCAGATCTATATGAAAGTTCAAGGGTGTAGAGTGCGAGATAAGGCGAGCAAGAGGCAAAATAGGTGATGCTGTGAAATGGAAACTCAATACAGTGCTGTGTAAAATGAAGGTTACGCGACAATGTGCAAAATAAGCGAAAATGAAGCCACACTGGGAGAAGATGAACCAGCTCTAAACAGCAATGATTTAACCCTCTTCAAATATGCTCCGGTGACATCATGTGATGTTGAAAGGCCCTTCTCAGATTACAAGGCCATATTGAGTGACAATCGGAGATGAGACCTTGAAAATGCACATCGTTATACATTGTAATGCTGCCAAGAAAGGAAAATGAAAAATGGTACGTATTATTTTGGATTTTATTTACTTGTAATTTATGAATTTGACATTCATGAAAGGCACTTCTTTTAAATTTATCTTCTTTTTATAGGAACATGTTTTCTCAGCATCTGATGCTGATCCAAAACGAGGTGTTTATAAAACTGAAAGATGATGTACGTAAAAATTGGGGTGAAATATCATTCACATAATAACAAACAAGTTATGTCACTCGGTGTTGTGCAAATATTTAAATTTTTCTGACAGTACAATGACTGTACATTATATTATTTGTCACCATAGCATTAATACTGTTAGTAAATTGTTGCAAATAAATTAATTGACACATACAAAATATTTTCCTCTGTACAGAATGGTACTGGGTCATATATTCACACATTTCTCTGTAAAGCTATACAGTGGCTAAATAAAATCAGATTACATTGAAATTAATTCCCTCACTGAAAATTGTTGTTTAAAATGTCACATTAAAAATATAATCACAAATATATAAAGTGTTTTATATAGTTTAAAATTATCTTATTACATTTAAAAATAAAATTACAGACCTATAATTTGTGTACATATAGTTTAAAATTATCTACACACATTTTGAAAACATGGTATATCATCAATCTAGATGTTGAACTACACCTTTCATATTCTTGCATTGAGACAGCATATAAAAATATACCACAAGAGATTTGAGGTTCTCACAGTGAGTATGAAGATAACTGTCTTATGAATAATCTCTGAAATATTGATAAGCTCCTACCAGACTACACAGTGCAACAACCCAGAAGACAGTCATCATCAAGAATGTACATGATTACATATTTACAACATTAATTCAACACATGCCAGTCTTTATACCCATATGTTTCAAGGAGTTCACTGCACTACTCCTCATATCACTTCAGTAATCTTTAAGGTTATTTCTCTTATGTTAATTTTAATTGTAATACAAATCTAACATTAGTCTCTTGTGTGGATCTGTTTATGTTTCAAAAAATTGCTACCATGCTGAAACATCTTTCCACAAACTTCACAAACATGTGGTTTTTCCCCAGTGTGAATAAGGGAATGAGTTTTTAAATTATCGAGTCGCGAAAACTGTTTATTACACACATTACATACATGTGGCTTTTCTCCAGTGTGGATCAATGAATGTTTGTTCAGATTTCCTAGTTGTGCAAAATCTTTATTACACACTTTACAAGAATATGGTTTCTCACTCGTATGAATAAGCATGTGTGTCTTTAAATGACGCGGTTGTGAGAATTCTTTACCACATATATTGCACACATACGGCTTCTCTCCAGTATGAATTTTGCAGTGCGTCTTCAGGTGGTAGATGGACTTAAATCCCCTGTTGCATACTTCACACTTGAAAGGTTTTTCTCCAGTATGTACCAGAAAATGTGATTTCAATTTGCTGGGCTTCTTGAAAATTCTACCACACTCCCCACACACATGAAAAGTCTGTTTACTACCGGGTGGATATTGAGTATTGGCCACATTCTTTGTACCTCTCTTTGGTGAAAGTCCACTACAACCAGCAGCAGAGCCATCATGAAGATCATTCAATTCTTCATAGCTGAAATACAGTTTCATTGTGAGGTTTTTTGCAATCTGAAAGTGGTGGCAAAAAATAAAAATATAATATTTAGCCCATTCATGCTAAATCAACCAATGCATAACATTTTCATTTTCTGGATCCTACTGCATTTGGCACACCAGTAGAATCAATAACATAAATTGTAATATTTGTACTTTTTCTTTTTTGTGAGTGCTTTAAGTTAAGTAAAGTAATTTAATTGTGAGAAATGGACAAAATAAATCCACTGAGGAGGCTTCATATGCCTATATTCTGAAGCCTTTTCACCCATCATTAACTAACAATGTTTCTGAGATGCGGTCAGTCACTTTTTCCAAACATCCATGTCTACGAGATATTAGGGACCTACTTAAAGAAGTCTTCAAATGATCAGAGACACAGTGGTCAGTGAAATGTAATTTTTCTGATCTCATAAGATTATTATAATAAATAAATAATTTCTTTATTTCAGTATAGTTTAAGTAAACAGATGACTTGTCCTGTATGTTATACATATACATCAAAAAACACACTAATAAAACAATGGTTATACATTAGATATAGCACACAAGTTAGTCACCACAATTTACATATATTATGCGGCACATCGCTCTATTTACCTTGTTGAAATTTGCCCATCTGGTATACTAAAATCCTGTTCACAGAATGAGTCATCTTGTGGTTCATTTTTCACCATAACAAACTCAAATCCTTCCTGACCAGCAGCACTTTCAAAGGAGTGTGGACTGTGAATGGAACTCATGTATTCATCTGGTTCAACCTAAACACATCATAACTAAATATGACTTTTCTTTTTAAAGTAAGATGATAAGTTTCAGAAGGTGGACAAAATATGAGGTAGAGATTTAAGTTTTCCTATATTTTTGAAAATATATTATGTCTATACCTCACACCAATCTCACAGTCCAGTAGTTGGCATAGCTGTTTCACACTGAGAAAGTCCTAGGTTCAAGTAGTAGCTGTAATTTTTCAATATTTATATATCTGTCAACTGTTGATTATCATCTTTGCACCAATTATCAACTTAACAATTCAAAGGAGGAACCATATTTTAACCTCATGTTATTATCTAATTGGTAACACTGTGGTTTTAGGTGAATATGAATACCAGATTACACAGCGCAACAACCCAGAAGACAGAAATCTTCATATAATTACAATAATCCTATCACCTATCTCATAAATATGAGTAATAATAGATTCCTTATACTGCTCTGACGGTTCTTCCTTATTCTGTCTACAAGATATTACATCAATTATGTAGATCCTTTACCTGTTATGACATTATCAAACTCAATATGTCTTCTATCAGAGAAAGTTCAACAGTATTTATAAATACTGTCTTGGGAATAATTTACTCTTAAGAATTACATATTCTGATGTGAAAAAATTATCATTAATATTATATCAACTCATACTTCCAATTTTCAATCAGGTAATGTCCTCTCCCTACTTTGCATTAAAATTGTGTAACAGAATTTTGATGCTGTACTTTGAGAACTGACCAAGTGCATGCTCTAGTTCCTCATGAAAGCTTTTTGAAACAATCAATTTTATCCTCTGCTGGGGCATACATATTCAGAATAGTAATATCATACCAATGACATCTTAATACAATACATTGCATTAAATCACTGACAAACTCCACCCTCTTTAAACGTTTATCTGATTACCTTGCTTACTAAACAGCCTGTCCCTATATGATAACTACCATTCTTTTTTCCATAGCAAAATCTATAACTGTCTGTTTATTCAGTACCACCCTCATCCCATCTGACCTCTTTCGTTACCACTAAATCAAACTTTAATTATCCAATTTTCATGCTCATCATGACCTACAGACTCTCATTATTCCAAATTCCTAGAATGATGTCCACTTTCCATTGTTCAGGTCACTCTAAAGAATTAATCCCAGTCTTATGCCCTGTGTAACATTTCATAATATGCTCTTCTCTACTCTATTCTACTCTGCTCCTTCTTAAGGTAAGAAGATTCTCTGATGTATGGTGCAGATTTTTGTGGGGAGATGGCAAATTAATACTAATAATAAATCTGTAAGATATGAGGTTCTTACAGCGGTGAGTATGAAGATTTGTCACATTCATCGCCCTGATGATGGAGGCAGTATGACCTCTGAAACGTTGGTAAAAATCGACCAGACTATACAGGGCAACAACCCAGAAGACAGAAATCTTCAATAATAAATCTGTCAAAATAAATATCTGCTTCAAAATTATAATATATTCTGATGGAAATTCTTCTCTAAATTCCTATGCACACATAAAGGAAGAATTCTCAGCACAGAACGATGTCAGTACTGTACATCAGTCTAAATTGATACTGTAAACGTAACATTAGTTTTACATATTAAGATTATGAAAATCATCCTTAAATATTAACAGTTGAATGATCACCGACAATTGTTCCTCATCTGCGACCTGTAATTTATTCTGCTAATAAAGGTTAGAATACTTTGACATTCTCAATCTATAGCAGTAACAACATGTTCTTACCAATTAATTGCAACTCCTGTCCACTAACCTTGACGTCTTCATTTTCCATCAAAATTACTTCAGGCTCCAGAGTATTTTCTCCTACCTTAATTTCTTTAATGTCTTTTACGATCTTCTGTCTACTTTCACCATGTGACATGATTTAATATCAAATACTCAATCTCAATAACTAACACTTCCTACAATGAAATAAAAAAAATGTCCATTCACTAAAATTAATTATGAAATTTTTTTGTTTCAAATGCCGAACAGATTAACTGGTAACCGTAAAGTCGGTACAGCACAGACGAACCGCATTTTGAAATAAACCTGTTGAAACATATGAGATTGTTTATACTGACTGACACTTCAGTTTGTTTAATATATAACGGAAGTCTTCAAGACAGATCGTACAGACATGTTGTGCTGTGACCGTGCGATTTTTTTGTACAGCTTCAGTTTCTTGTACACAGTACAACATATGATACGTTTGAATTCCTGTTGCTGAC